TGAAAATGATGGCATGATAGTGTAATAAACTATGAAATATTGTGATAAAATATACTTTTACTTCATGTAAAGAATTCATGAATGGATAGAAGTGATATTTTTTATATTGAGATTAAATTATATTTGGATTGGAAAATCAACTATACTGAATTATTTTACTATGAATTAAGAACTTGGTTGTTCTAGGATTATCCGGCTAGTGTTGAAATACTACTCGGAGAATTAATACGAAAGATGATGGAATTAATCCTGAGAGATTGGATTGTGAATAGTGATGCCTTAAGTAGTCTTAAGAGATACTTTAAGGTCGAATTGTACGAGTTCGAAGATATGTTATGGGGTAGGCCTTACAGACTACTCAGAATGAATTGAGTCTAGGCATAGGGATTGCTAAGAGACTTAGTAACGTGACTAAGAGTCAGGTTCTAGCACGGTGTAGCGGTGACTAAGAGCAAGGCTCTAGCACAACGTAGAGTGACTATGAGTAATGCTCTATCACAATGTAGAGTGACTAAGAGCAAGACTCTAGCACAATGTAACGTGACTACGAGCAAGCTAGGCTCTAGCACAATCACTTCCACTGTGAAAACCGTGTTAGTTGTGCAAAATTTATAATTTCAAATGCACTTCAAAATTTATATTAGCTAGTAAATATAAGAGTGCACAATAATACATTTAATAGTGCACTATAGTGCATCATATGTACAAGGTGCAAGATAAAAATCAAGCTCCTAGAATTGTAGTGCGGATTGCGGAATGTGCAACAATTGTATCATAAAAGTGAATGACTGGATTATTGTAGTATAAATTATCTAAATCTGCACCTAGCGTAATGGTATTGTGCATCAAGTGTAAAAGTGTTGCATCTACTAAATAACTAAAGTGCATTTTTAAAGCTTCTAATAAACTTAATTAAGGTAACTTGTGAAGAGGATCCATTATGGTAGATATATTTTAACGCACCGTATGTGAACCCAATTAAACTAAGGAGCTTTTTAAAGAAAATAATTTAAAAATCCACATTTATAGGATATGGGAAGTAACCATCACATAATTAATTTTTCATGCGTGTCAATCATTCTCATGTAATATTACTCTTGAACCCCTACATAATAATTGTAATGAAGCGTTACCTTTTAAAACTCCAACACTTAGCCACAAAAGTGGACCGGAGTATTAATTCTCTTGTAACACAAGCCGTAGGATACAATTAATCAATTGTGAGATCTTATTCTTTTTTCTTTCCTAGGACTCTATCCTCACATGAACCACATCATATATATATATATAGGGGATGATTCAAATAAAAAGATGTCTTAACGTGTAAAGTGAAACGTTTACACTTTTTCATGTTTCGCCTACACTTTTTCTTGCTTTCATTGCACTTTTTCGCGATAGCTCAAAAAAATTGGTTTATTTATAAAACTGTCACCGTCATTTTGGTCGAATTTGGCCAAAATCAAAATGGACAAAAAGTGCAACGCAAACAACAAAAAGTGAAAGCGAAGCATGAAAAAGTGAAAACTTTGCAATTTGCATGGGAAGACCACTTTTCATTTGAACTCTTCCCTATATATATAGGGGTGAGATCATATGCAAACCATGCTTAACTTACTAACCTATAAACTCAATAATATGCAACACTTTGAACTTCAATATGCAGTACAAATAATGTAAAGATGCACTCTTTGAATTTCAATATGCAATACAAATAATGTAAATATGAAAGTTCTGTTTTACGGCTTGAATAATATGAAACACTTCGAACTTCAATGTGCAATACAAATAATGTAAAGATGATTTGAATGAGAGAACTAGTTTGTATGTGATCACATCTCTGCATCTTTACATTATTTTTAATGCATATTGAAGTTCAAAGTGATGCATATTATTGAGTTTGTAGGTTAGTATTTTAAGCATGGTTTGTATTTGATCTCTTATCTATATATATATATATATATATATATATATATATATATATATATATATATATATATATATATATATATATATATATATATATATATATATATATATATATAATAGTTCAAATACAAAGAGGTCTTCCCATGCAAAGTGAGAATTAATCTCGTGCATTCATTTTCAGATCTAATGGCTCAAAATGAGCCAAAAGTGAACTAAATTTGATCAAAAACGTGGTGGCAATTTCGTAATTAAAATGAAGTTTTTTGCCATTGCGAAAAAGTGCAACAGAAACCAGCAAAAGTGCAACGCGGTGAGGATAAAGTGCAACCGTTTGCACTTTGCACGGGAGAACCTCTTTTTATTTGATCTCTTCCCTATATATACATACATACATACATACATACATACATACATACATACATACATACATACATACATACATACATACATACATACATACATACATACACACACACACACACACACACACACACACACATATATATATATATATATATATATTCTATACAAGTGATTTGAAACAGGGTAGCTATAGGTTATGCCCATATCACTCTATGTTGAGGGTCTTGTGTTTGAAACATGGATTATATGTCGTATAGTTGTCATTGTACTTTTCAAATGCTTTAAAGTATTGGTTTCCCCTTCACGAGGGAGGCAACCTCACAGTTTTCAGGTAGAAGCTAGAGTTTGCTTCATGTTCCCGTTGCGTCGTGTGATCTATGGAGAGAAAACGTGCTTCGTGCTTCTTCCAATTCTATTTTGATACAAATAAAATGATGAATTGATGATCATGGAAACTATTTTAACTATAAATGATTTGGGAGCCTGCTCATGTTAGCCTTGTGTGGCCTTTGAATTTAAAAATGTATTGTTTTTCCGTTGCGTATTTTGAAATGTTTTACTTATGATTGTTTATGGATGTACTTGTGTCAATTGTATTCATGTACGACTTGCATGGTTCGAGTGAGGTAGACTGCGATTGACTTAATCGTATTGTGCGGCGGTTATTAACGTGTCCGGTCAGTCCGGGGCGTGACAGTACCGAACTGGACCGGTATGGTACCGGACGGATAAACGGGGTTTGAAACTGATCTCAATTATTTATCCCGAACCGGACCGTACCGATTCGAAACAATGTCATGACGGGTTCTCCTAAAATGATAACCGTACTGGACCGAATCGGGCCGAAGTATGGTTTAATTTTTAAATTTGTACTACTATAGTTTATCTCAAATATATTAATTACCTTATCCATCTCAAATTGATTTGTAACGTCACCATTTTTTTTGTCAATGTTAATGTTAATGTTAAGTCCTCCCTAATGATAATTAATACTTCGTACAATTTTTAATAATTAAGATTTACATATTTAGAAACCTCATTAAAATCTTTTTAAAGTTACAAAATCCAATTTAAAATATACGAAGTACATTTTTTTGAACGCCAAATTAGAATATAATTAAAAGTGATATCTTAATTAAATGAACAAAAAAAATGTTTGACTAAAAAAGGTTAACTTTGCAAATCAATTTAGGACGGAGTCACGGAGATAGTATGAAATATGAAAATTGATAAATTGTGTGAATTTTTGGAGGATGACTAACTTTAATTTTTCCTTAAACACTTGAAAAGGTGGCATTGTTTGGTATTAGCATGGCATGATACCGGCCCGTTTCAAAATGAACCTTACCGAACGAGTTTAGGTCTAAGATCGAACCGAACTGTTTCAAACTTTCAATAGTAATGGTACGAGTTCGGGTTCGGCAAAATATTGGATCGGACCGGATAGTGCACACCCCTACACAAATTGTTAATACTACGGATACTCAATAAAAATAATAATTTTTTTTTACAGATACTCAAAATAAAAATATTACTTGTACATGCAATTTTACAGGCCGGTCAAATTGTCTGTGTACATTGTCTGTGTACAGACAGTTTGCCCACATACAATTTGACCGACGTTTTATGGAGAAAAAACATTTTTCGCAAAAATAAAATTAATTGTGTCAAAGACAAAAATGAGCGGAAAAAAAAATTGTGCAACAAAGATTATCTTCACAAAATTAGAAGGGAATTCGCTCAAAATATACTCCTGAGTCTTATTCGTTTTACCATATACTCTAATACTCGTATGTCAAACTCAAAATTAGATGTAAATTTTGGTACGAGTGTCTACTATCTACAGTCTACACTCGTTACTCACTACTGAGCTACAGTGGCACGCGTGATCCAACACTGAGATAGGTATTTCTACTCTAGAATTTGAAACTACGTCATACTCCCTCGATCTCCAAAAGCTTGAACAAAGTTAATTTTCACGTAGATTAATTTAGCCACATATTTCTTACTTTAAATGAAAGTGTCAAATCTTTATAGGACATTCCAAAAAAGAAATTTGACCAACTTTTTTGAGAGTATGTCCTAAAACATTAAGTAGAAGTAGTACGTACGGGGTAAAACAAAATAAAGAGACCGTTTTCAAATCTGAGTTTTGAAAGAGTGTACCTTTTATAACTTCCAACTTTTATTTTTCGTATGTTCCAATTAAAACTTCTACTTTCCTGTTTTCATAAATGATTTATAGTTCACAACATTTTCCTACACATTTATTTCTCCTTTGCAACAATTCTCTACTACACAATACCCATTATTTTAAATTATATGTCAAACCTATTTGAAAGTAATAAAAAATGAGGGAATATCTCATTTTTACATCACATAAATCGTCTTATTTATGACCACCTTAGAAAATGAGGATAAAATGAGGATAAAAAAGAGAGATTTTGGGTGCCTTTACCATTTGTGTTAAATTTAGCACCGCAAGTCTGCCCCCATTTAACTGTGCATAAAGATAAATGAGTACGATCGATACTAAACAAATAAATAAATCGCATAAAGTAACAGCATTCACACTGCCCAATTAAGGTCTTGCATCCCCCAGAAACGTATCATCAAAAGATCTTAAAACGCTTCACGAATCACGAGGGACTAGCAATTATAACTTTTACTAACACGCCCATCTAGACGGCCGTAAAAACAGGCATTCAAAAAGTCAGTCCTTGAATAACTTTTTTTTTGTAAAACATTTGAAATTTAATGGTCAGTTCAAAATTCAAACCCTACAGAAATTAAGGACGCAACATCGCACCCCACAACATCATACCAAGTATCACATAGGAATAAATATGACCAAACTAACAAAATCAAACATTTAAAAAACAAAGATGTCAAAACAATCTCATATTGAAAGAGGGATTAAGCAAAAGTAAATCCACTTGTTACTAGTCAAAATTACCAAGAGTAACAGCGTTGACATTTGACAGCGTCATTAAGTCTCAAAACAAAGATAACTGCTCTGTAATTATAAGCACTAACCACTACCGGGTTAAACTACCATGACCCAAAGATGAAATAGTAATGCAGTAATAGTGATCAGATAAGATCCGTCGGCTTTCAGGCCTCAACAGACTCTACGGACTTCTTAGCCGGGGAGCAGATGAACCAAAGGTTGCCATATGGGTCCTTCACCTTGCCAACGCGACCACCGCAGCAGGAGGCCTCACCCTCAGAGATTTCACCTTCAGCAACAGCTCCAGCGGAAACGGCATTAGCAATCGCAGTTTCCACGTCGTCGGTCTCTAAGGCAAAAACGCCAGAAGTAGCATCAGCCTTGGCCCTGATGAAATCACATTTACAGCATTTGTCAGTTCCCAAATGTTTTTTTAAAACACAGAAATATCAAAATAATAACTCGCTATCGAAGTCGGTCATCAGAAATTTCTTCTAATTTCGTATTAAACTAGCAGAGTATCATTGAAATCTGGAAGATAATGAGCGAACTGGAGACGACATTGAAACTGTGTTTGTACTCGCAAAAACTCCGCAACTGAAGTATGCATAACTGTTCTTATGCGTATCCACAAGCATGTCTCAGAAACACAATTTCACAGATTAATATGCATGTGTTACAACAACGGTATGGATTGAAGGCAGATTGTCGAAAAAGCAGCAAGACGAATGATAAACATTAAAAACGCCTTCAAAAAACACAGATCTACAAATATATTTCATGGATTAAGTGAGAACAGAAACACAAATACACAGAAGAGGTACATTAGAACTTACGGTGCAGAGGAGTCCTCGGTTAGGTCAGAAACGAGGAAAACAGTAGAACCAAGCTTCAGCTCGGCGTAGAGAATGAGAGGAACTTCCTGCTCGGCCTTCCTCTTCGTGTTCATCACACGACTGACCTCCTCGGCACCAAACGCGGTCTTGTAGAACTGCACGGCGTCGTTTGCCTTGGAACCTTCCACGAACAGCTGCGGCTTGAGAGCGGAGAAGGTGACAGCCTTAGCGGCTCCGTTCGTCGCACCGCCGTTCTGAGCTTCCTCCGCCATCTCTCTCTAGCTGCTAAAAACAAATGACAGAAATGGAGGTAGAGATGGAAAGTTTGGATATGGCTAAAAAGAGATGAAGCAATCTGAGATGAAATGGGGCACAAAACGGAGATACTTATAGGAAGCGACGACGGAGCGAACCGTTTGTGCATCACAGGGGCAAACTTGGAATTGCGGTTGTCTTACTCGCATAGTTCACCCTCAATTGCGACATTTATTTTCTATATTGCCATTCTGTTTGAAGGTTTAATATCTTCCGCTGAGGATCCATATTGGTCATTTCACAAGCAACTCAGAGGAGAGGCCGTCACGTGTCATTAATGTTAGTTACACGTCAGGAACAGAATCGGCGTGAGTGGTATTTTAGTTGGGAAATGTAAGGGCACCACTTTTAATGAAATGACGAACATGTCCTGAGGTTTGAATCATAGCGGATAAGGTTTAAATTTTTATGGGCTCGGAGGCTTGGCCCAATTGAAAGCCAACTTTTATAGGATTGGTAAAGCAGGAAATATCCATGCAAGTCACTTGTTAATGAAACGGCTTTTCTATTGCATCACAATTCACAAACAACGCTATTGGAGCGATGACATTGCATCAATAATCAAAATTAGAGGTGGGTGAATATGGGATTAGACAAAATTCAAAAATGCGATTATAAAAGTAGTACTCCCTCCGTCCCAGAATTATCTTCATTCTTTTCTTTTCGGTTCGTCCCAAATTTATCTTATTTTTCCCTTTTTGGTAAAGAATATGTGGTTCACAACCATTCTTACACATTTCTCTCTCCTCTGCATAACTCTCCACCACACAAATCTCACTATCTTAAAACTCGTGTCCGGTCAAAACCGGAGTTAAATATGGGACGGAGGGAATATATATTGATTGATTGGTTTTGGTTCTAGATCGAACCAAAGCATATCAGATCAAACTAAAACACATGATACTAGACTGCAATTGAACAAACTAGTTCAGACTTTGACAATAATAAAACACATATAGATCGAACTCATGCAGACTTGATCCGATCAGACTCGACCAAATCATAAAAGTTTACACCAATTAAAAACAACAAGTGTTTTAGTCATAAAATGGGACTTATTTAGTCTTGTTACTTTTGATCATATTTAAGGAGGATCTCTGCGGCCAAACTGATCCATATGATAATTTGTGATGAGGCAGGTTAGGAGAGACTAGAGAGTTTGTTTTAGAGTCGTGCAAAAGTGACAGCGGTATTAGATTTATGCCCTCTATGAAGGTGAAAGTACACCGGAAAAGTGACATTAGCGAAATCATTTTTAAAAAAATAATTCAAACATATCTCAAAATTCCAAAGGTTAAGGTGGTTTGGAGGTCATCTTGACGAGACACACCTTCTGGTGTTTTTTTTATTTTCCGGGCAATTTTGAAAATCGGAGTTACTATTACCCGTCTTTCTCAGACGTTTTTAACGGTGTGATCCTCTTGTGATCACGGAACTCAAACACACGAACCACTGTGATATAAAATGAAACACATGACCTTATCTGAAAACGGGCTCAACCACAAGTATTTCTTTCGTACTTTTCCTTAAAAATTATTAGTAAAACTTATCAGGCTAACAATTAGTAGTTACTAATGAGAGGTTGAGCTACAGAAATAAAAATGCTACTACTCTTATTTGAAAATGGGACAGAACGAGACATATTTTATTCGTTTCGGTCACATTCTATTTTGTAATGGTTCGGGACTGGTACATTTCGGTGCCACTCAACATGATCCAGTCTTTTACCCACTCATGGTCTCGTCACATTCTAGTTTTTTCCAAAAAAAAAGAAAGAGAGTGGGCAATAAATATATTGAAAGTCTGTAATCGTCCAAAAAGATGATAGGATGGAATATCCGGTTATTGTTGAGATACATAAAATAACTAGTGTTTAACTTGTTAGCGATCGTACTCTGAAACTTATGATAATATTTATAATTAAGTATATCTCTTCTGATCTTGTGAATCTGGGAAATCATAAAGCAATAAATATTGTATTTCACAATTTCTATTTAGTTGATCAAGAGTTCATACATTTATAATATTTGAATTTTGAATCATAACGCGTTTCATCACGTTTTGTAAAAAAAAAACGTGTTTCATCACGTTAATAATCATTTCGATTGTGTTTGTCGAGTCAGTTTGTTGACTTAAGGCACGATCTCGTTGTTTCTAAAAATAACAAATTTTAAAATGGTCAAACTACATACATTTGTGTATGGGGCGTTTCTTCCCGCTCAGGTCTCCGATTTATACCCACAATGGATATACTTCACCACTAGAGTCTAAAGGAGAGAGGAGTGTGGCAACAACCTTCTTTAATATATTTAAATACTCTAAAAATTTAAATGTATGAGTTCAACAACCTCTATTTGTGTGCCTTGAATGAATTTCATTAGTTTTATCTTTCATTTGATTTAATCATCATAGAGACCAATTATTTATTGCGAATGTTTTCAAAATAGGAGGAAAAATCTTTTGGAATTCAGAAATATTACAGTTATATTTTTATTCACTAAATATGAGTAACTAATGTCATGTTTGGAAATGCAGAGATGTTTAAAGTCGGGTTACGCCAAAATATGACAAAATTTGCTCTATTTTAGGGAAATGAAAACATGAAACTCCTACTTTGAAGTTCACAAACATTTTTACCCCTATTAGAATGATTACTAAAAACCTCCAAAATTTTGAGACATTTAGGTGATTTAGTGATCGTTTGACGATCCCTTTTTATTTTTAAAATCTCTCTTGACTATATGTGATGGATTGTCTATATTGGAATACCGCTAGTGGTATCTAGAGAGAAGTCAGAGCAATTAGTAAGAGAGAGAAAGTGTGGCAGCAATAAATACCGATGGTCCGTTACAACTACCCAAAAGGTGCTATTTATACTAGTCAAAAATGCTAGGTACATTAAATGCACGTACACGTGTAAGCTAGCTTATGGTGGAGAGCCCCAGTTGTGCGGGTGCTAGCACGTGGCACAACATTAAATGTGGTGGTTTAGACGCTAGACAAAGAGGAGCTTCTATCGAGAGCGAGGGCCTTCAGTACTGGAGCCGAAGGCTGATGTGAGGAGCTGAAATTTCCAGGCGTGTTGTTGGGCCAATATGGAGTGGCGTTCCAGAGTCTAAGGCCTTCGGCCATGGTGCCAAAGGCACATTCCCTTGTGGGATATGGACTGCATCGTACTTGGGTTGTTGTATCTGAGCCGCTTGTATCCGTTGGGCCTGTTTGAGATAGCAGGAGTATGTGGACCGAGGGTTCTCGGGCTATATACTCCATCAATATGAAATTCACCATTATTTTAATATATGTTTTGGATCTAAAACATGTTTATTTTATGTCTAGTATACTTACACATCAAAACTAATAAACTGTTCCACTAGCAAAGCAAAAAATTGAGTACTCCTATTTAGGGGAGAGCAAACTCGACCCTACCCAATTGACCCGATCAGATATATCTGATTTTTTTGTTGAGGTTGGAAAATCCGACCCAAAATATGCAAACCCGATCCGATTCTTGCAACCCGAGACTTAAGCAAGTAGCGGGTAGGGTTACCAATTATGCTACCCGACCCGCCCGAAAAACCGAACTAACGTAGTATATACTTCGTATACTAATTTGAATTATTATGCATGTTCAACTATCTCAATTATTGTATGTAAGTTACCATATTATGCATGTTCAAATATTCCAATTATCGTATTTGTACAACTATAACTTTGAATGTTGTATTGTTATGACTTTGAATGATATTTTGACCAATTATCATTTTATTCATCGCAATATCAAATATGTCAATCACCGTATATTATTATTTTACATGTTCAAATATGTCGATTACCGTATTTATACAACTATTACTTTGAATGCTATACTAGTATAACTTTGAATGATATTTTTACCAATTACCATTTTATTTATCACAATTTCAACAATAATAAATTAAAATCCGAATGGACCCGAAAACCATATCAACCCGAACGCAACCCGAATTTCTTCAACCCGAAAAACCCGATAAATTTTTTGATAGGGTAGGGTTTAAAATTATCAATCCGATACCCGAACGGGTTTACCATTTTTGAACCCGACCCGCGCTCTGCCCTACTCCTATTCCACTAATTCATTTTATAATGTCGATATTCAAATGATGATAAAACTATTTTTCCCAAAGTAACAAATAAATTAATGGGAAAAAACTTTTGGGAAAAGATTAAAATTTCCCGGGGTTTATGGTTAATACAATGAGATATAGATCGAACACATTTCACTTATCAAACTTATCGATCAACTTTTTGTTACCAAACACTTAAATTTTAATTATGCGTGTTGGGTTGTGTGGTAATCAAAATAAGTAAAGAGTGTGTGAGTTAAAACTTATGTGCAAAATAAAAAATTATCGTTTAAAATTATTGGACTTAACAACAAATAAGTACAAATAAATTTCATTTAGTCTGCTCTATTAATAAAATGGTGAGTACACACCTCCAAAAGCATAAGATATTTAGTGCATGGTTGTTTAGTGATCCTTTTTTACTTATGAAAATTTGTCTTTAATATACTCCGTATAAATTTTGAATTAATTGGATATACTTTTGAATCGTGAAATATTTATTTCACGTAGAGAGTACTTAGAAATCATGATTCATATACCATTTCAGTAATGAAGTAAAAAATAGCTACTTAAGTTGATGTCATGTTGAACTTCATTTTTACGATTATGATATTCAATTGATAATAAAGTAAAAAAAAATCAAAGTAACAAATAGATTATTAGTATGAAATAAATTATTTAGAAGAAAAATAAGTTTTACAATTTTGTACGTTAATACTCCGTAATAAATGAGATGTAGGAAAATGCTTTTCAATGCTTACTAAGTTCAAAATATAATGTGAAACTCATAATGAGATTTCGGTCATTACGTGAATCTGAAGTCGATAAAATGACACATTTATAATAAGTTAAAAGGAATATGAAATATACAAAATTTGATATTTTTCATTAGTAATATTAGGAATGAAAGTTGTCTATTCCTAGTTTTGGATAATAAAGTATGTTTTTGAAAATGCAATTAAAGACATTTTAATTGGAATAGATCGATAACAATTTTTGAGAAATCGATTTTTAGACAATTTGATTGGTGTAGTTAATTGTCTCACAATACCTTTACGGTTTTTCATTCATTTAAAAAGATAATTTGAAATATATAGAACAATCCAAATATTATTTACACCTCCTCAGCGGATAGTGGTAGTGAATTATTCAATACATAGACATGAACGTGAATATTTAATTTGATAATTAGTATGCCTCTAAGAATAACGAGGAATGATGTGTGTGGTTCGGATGATGATAATTTGTTTAACCCATGCTCTAAATATGATTAGAATTGGTGAAATTAATTCTGATGATGATTACTCTAACTATGTTTAACGAATCATCCTCATCCTCATCAGTGTTTTATTAAAACAATTAATAAGTTAGGGACGATGTATAATTGTAGATATTTGATGAGATTATAAGCAAAATAAAGAATCCTACTTGTAGGGACGATGTATAATTTATATTTAAGTGATAAGTATTTAATTCACATATGTGATTTTATGTGATGCAGTATATTCCCATGTATCATAGGGTATCAACATCCGCGTACAAAAAAAGTCTCCGGAAAGTCTAAATCCACAAATCGCCGAGGCCGACCTCGACCCACCCGAGGTCGGTCCGAGCGGTCGACTCCCAGATCACCAAGATAAGACCAAACCAGAGGGCGATACCAGATCTAACCTCGAAAACGGATGCAAAGTCCATCGAAGTCAATGGGGCAAAGGAATCACCATTACCGAACAAATATTTATACTAAGGGAGAAATATTTGGCCAACAAGTAAAAATATGTTATTCTATTGTGGTGAAGACACGTGCCACTTCTGTCTAACAGAATAAATGTACTGATATAATAGTATGATGACACGTGTAAAAGTGATTGGAGAGATACTCTACTGGAGAGCTGACTGATTAGTACTGTGTGTAACATAATTGTCCTTTGCATACCGGAATGTAGTGCGCGCCCCACGTGTGCAATTTCAACATGGAACATTCCTCGTAGTAACCGCCATGGTGATGTGGCTCTTATGTGATGCTGGTGACGTGGTCCTAGTTCTGTATGGTACTTGATTGCAGAAATGCCTAAGTCCACAATTTATCTAGCAAGACCTCGAGCTCAATAAATGGGATCAGAGCTCGGGTATAGTGAGCTTATCCCGGAGGGTTTGACCCTCATTTTTTATCACCTTCTAGCTTGTGGAAAACGGTCAAAATAAAATCTCTGTGCAATCCTACTATTACTCTACTTCATTAGTACTAAAGTAGAAGATATTTTAAATAAACTTGATATTTGATATTTTGGTAACTTGGGGTGTAATAAATAAAATTTGTATGATTCGTTTTATACAATAATTTTGAAATATTGAATGCAATAATTTTGAAAGCTAGATATTCTATAAATAAGGTAAGAAGCCCACCAACATACAAATCATAATAGGAGAAATACAAAAAGTGTTTGTTTCAATTTGAGTAATGTAATTTCCAAAACTAGATCGTAATTGAATTAAGTTAAAAGGGCCACTTCCACAAAAGTTATATAATAAAATAAGTATAAATCTTTATATATATATAAAGATTGTATGGTGGGATTCTTAATATTTTATTTTCCCTCTAATAAAATTACATTGTTGAAGTATTTAGTGAACTCTTATAATTAATCAACAATATTTAAACTTAGTAAAGGATAATTGATCAGTTAGTAAGACCAACATTTAATTCCATATAAACTCAAGGGTTATTAACTTTATATAAGTAGTTTATAGGTATTGATTTTTAATTTTTTCTAACATCATATTTTTGGATGATTCTTTGATAATTACGGTACAAAATTGACTTTAATAACACCATATAAGAGATGAATAAGAAGAATGGTTCTGATAATAATAAATAAGGAAGTGCTTTTAGAAAATCATATACAATTATAAAATTATACTAATGGTAATTTTCGATTCTAAATTAATGTTGAGTTTATAATTTTTTTGTTCACAATTATTCCTAACACATCAATTACACAAAAATAAGTAGTATGTATGAGGGAATTGGAAGAACATTTTGGGATAGTCTAAAATAAAAAGGAAATAGTTTTTCGAAAGAAGGTAATCACTTTCAAATAATATTAGTTAAAATAATCACATAAATATAACCTTTCTACGACATAAAGTCCTCTATCATGTTATGTTTGAAATTTGTGTAAATTTTGTCATATTTATCTTTGAGATTAAGAATGCGGGGGAATAAGAAAAAGCTTCTTCTTAAGTGGACTATAGAGGTCCTACTAAATTGAGTTTTGCGTAAATCAAAATGTATTCATTTTTTATAAAATGTTTCAGAACATGTGAATAATCCACACTATCTATTAACTATTAGCCTTCTTTTTGTTTGAATAATATGTTTTATTTAAAGATTGAAAGAGCAGATAAATAAAATAATGTATAAGTGTACATACATAGCCAATGACAAAATATACTTTGATGTTATTTATAGTAAATGGAATCATAAGAATGATTTATTACAAGGTGTGTAATGTGTGTAGTTGTCATGTATCTAGCTAACAGAATTACGGAAACTGCATAATTTTATAAATATAAATATTTGTAAAAATAATAATAATTCACAAAATAAAGTCGTGGGGTACCACTATAGATTTAAGAAAAATCATTCTCAGAATATTAGTGATGAGTAGATATAATAGAAACATATTCATGCATAGGCAATGACAAAAAGTATGTAACCAAAACATACATTAATAAATATGGAAATTTGTAAAGATAATAATTTTAAAAAAAGTTGCGGGAACTACTATTGATTTAAGAAAAACTGTGCGCAATTTCAGTAGGTTAATGATCTGTGTATCCTTAAATACAGTAGGTAATTGCTTTTTTGTCAAAAATTTGATAAGGTAATTGTTAATAAATTATTTTTGTCAATAATTTTTTAAAAACACACATACCTGCATAATTGTAAAAATATGCATGTTCCACTATATAGTACTCGTATTAATATTATAAATTCCTTATATAAGAAGCAATGTGGTTAATAGTGATACTTTATTTTCCAAATACAATTCAACTTCACGATTCCAATTTATCTTGACATTCAAACTCCATTTTATGTAATTTAACAAGGAGATATGTGAAAGTACAAAACAAATATGGAAAGCGTTGAGAATCATTATTGTCTTATTTTAAAATACTGCTCAAGGACAATATAACTCCATATTTAAAGATACATCTATTGTACTTGATATCATGTATAGAATTATCATCATAATTACCACTAATCATATAAATTTCAAATAATATTTATTGTTATCATATTCACCATACGAAAAATAAACGACTAAATCAAATTCATTTGTATCTTTATACTCTAATTATTAGAGCATGCATCTCTTATCACAACCTTTGTTTTTAACACAACCTTTTATCATATGCTCAATTTTTAATTGAAAAAATGTATACGTATTAACCACTAAATAAATTATTTTATGGATGAATTCATCCGTGCAACGAGTGGATTGACTAGTATTAATAGTACTTATGAACTTATGGTCCTATCTTGTGTCATGTTGTGCAATTGTTGTGCGGCAAAATCATCACTTTGTGCGCATGGTGCTCCCATACTACATGAATGTACATATGGGCGAATTTTAATTAACTTTCGATACATAAGTGTTGCTGTAATTCATGCTATATTTTTATGAAAATGTCATTATGAAAGATATAAATACATATAAACAACATTTAAGAAATGTTAATATAAAGAGTTTAATATTTCATGTAAATGTGATATTTGGTACGTTACATCGAAAGTGATATGAATGTTCTAAAAAGATGTGATTGACTTATAATCTAATAATCCATGGATACTAAGTGACCGTTACTGAATTAGAAGTCATTGGTGCGGCGGTGCCTACATTTTTTGCCCCCTTTTCGCTTTGATCAAAGTGAACGTTGATAACTAATCATATGACATTAATTAAACACCACTTAAGTTTAATCAACCAAAAAGGGATTTCCAGATTTGGGTTTAAACTTACTCCGTACAATATCGGTTATCAACAAGTGTGAGGGGCAAGATTGTCATCACAGGTCTCAACAGGAACATCTTTGAAGCTGCCAGCTCTTCTCCGTCCCGGCCCAGTTTGTGCATGTGCTGGTCACTCTCTTGCTCCGTTTGGCATTCTAAATGCAGTAGCACTTCTCCAGGATAACGCTTTTAAAAATTCAATCAGACTACAGTTATAGAAAGCAGCTGTTTAGTGCATTTGCTTTTTATCATCTGCCATTAAAATCGAGATTGGATCGAAAGACAGGCGAAAATGGCAGGTTATGTGGGAGTTCTGGTGTCGGATCCATGGCTGCAGAACCAGTTCACGCAAGTAGAGCTTCAGAGCTTAAAGTCCAATGTAAGTCTAACTGGTGTTGATTTGCTTGGCTGTTAATTTCGTGTCTGGATTTGAGGATTCTGTGCGGTTCATGCAGTTCCTGACGATGAGTGAAGAATGCGGAAGCCTGAAGATATCAGACTTGCCGGAGAAAATGTCTAGGCTGAAGAACGTCGGGGAGAACTTTACTGAACAAGAAAGAGAGGTGTTTCTCAGAGACTCGTTTCCGAACATGGAAGACGATGTTGATTTTGAACTTTTCCTTCGGGTAAATACACAGGCATTCTTGTTGTTTTTTGAGATATATATTTATTTTTGAGATCTAACTTTAGAATCATTAGAAAAGAAATATCGTACTCTAAGATGTTTTTGGTTAGTTTCCGGGGAACTTGCGAGTTTCAGCTTTCAAATCGAACTGCTTCCTGAGTTACTTTCAGGATTCACAACATAATTACATAAACAGAACGGTGAAGAATGCTGTGGTATTATCATGATATCTGGAAAATTTTAGGGAACCCTGAGAACCAAACAAGGAAAATCTTCTATTTATTAGAAAGTTAATGCGTATTCCTCCGTTGATCAAATTGAAAGACAAAAGAATAGCTTTTAAGGACCGGTTTGTTTCCTAAGAAAAATAATCTCTGGATTTCAAAATCGAAAACTAAATGAGAATATAAATACTTTCCATGATTATTTGAACTTCTGTGAGAATATATTAGAGCATGTTTGGAATAGCTTATGCCTTATTTGAACTTGTGCCTTTATCATAAGTGGTATAAGTTCACATTTAAGCACTTAAAAGTGTTTTTCGTTGAAAGATCATAGCTTTCTCAAATAAGAATTAAAAGTGCATTTTTCATGGTTAAAAGTGTTTTATCATATGTTTGTCAAACGCTTTTTTTAAATAATTAAAGGTAGCTATCTTCCTCTAAAAACACTTATTCCTTGAAAACAAGTCATCCCAACCACACTTGTACTTTGAATGTTGCCTCTGCAATTCTATATTCTTCATATTCATTGACAGAATCATGGTATATTTGTGATAGATATATTTGAAACTCCAAGCACATGCTACAGCTAGAATGGGAAGCGATGCAAATATTTCATCAGCATTTCTAACGTCTCCCACTTCTACGCTTCTTCACACAATAAGTGAATCTGAAAAGGCGTCATATGCAGCACATATTAACAATTACCTTGCTGAAGATAAATTCTTAAAAGAGTACCTCCCTATAGACCCTTCAACAAATGATCTCTTCGAGATTGCAAAGGATGGAGTTCTTATATGGTGATCATTAATTATAATTCATAACCCTTTAAGTCCACATATTTGGATTTATATTGAGGTTGATTTTCCAATATAATTAGCTCCTGTATCTTTCTTTTGATGCAGCAAACTCATCAATGTGGCTGTGCCCGGGACCATTGATGAACGGGCAATAAATATGAAGAAAACCCTCAATCCCTGGGAAAGAAATGAGAATCATACCCTAGGCCTCAATTCCGCCAAGGCAATTGGATGTACTTTGGTCAATATTGGAAATCAAGATTTCATTGAAGGGAGGGTATGCCTATTCCATTTCTCAACTCTAATTTTTATTGTACATGATACAATCATGTATGTTTGTAACTGTTATCAATTTTAGCATGTAAAATTCCATGCTTATTTCATGACTGTTTATGTCATGGTAATCTCATGGATGATGGTTCAGTATATGCGCTGCATTTCTTTCACTTTGCTAATTAATACTTCAATCATGGACCATGAGGTTCTCTCCTATGTCCTATGTCACCCTACAATTCTAAATCCATCTAACATTTTCTGTAACTTTACCAAGATATGGATTTTTTCCCTAGATTATTTTAATTTTCTTTTCATTTTTGTATGGTGATGCTGCTTCGGACTAATACTTGTTACTTTAATTTTCAGAGGCATCTTGTTCTCGGGGTAATATCTCAAATTATTAAGGTAAGACTACCTATAAATCTATAATTCACACTCTGATTTGATAGGCTAGTGGCTTAAATAATGTTGGTGAAGTTGTATCACCAGCTCCCCTTTCCTCCAATCCCAACTAAACATCTGAGTAGTTTTTTCTTAATTGTGAAACTCTAGATTCAACTATTGGCAGATCTCAACTTGAAGAAAACACCTCAGCTAGTGGAGCTAGTTGATGATACTAAGGTGAAGAACCATGATGGTTTCATTTTAGCAAGACTTGATGAATCAATACTAATACAAAGTTTGTTATTATGTTTGCTTTGCAATGTCAGGATGTAGAAGAATTGATGAGCCTACCTCCTGAAAAGCTCTTGTTGAGATGGATGAACTTTCAATTGAAAAAGACCAAATACAGTAAAACAGTCACAAACTTCTCTACTGACATAAAGGTAGAAGGAATCAGCTGAAACTTAAGATTTCATTGAGCCCTGGATGAACTTTATTCCAATATCACTCATACCCGTCTCTATTTTTTGTTTAAATTAGATGAGCTGTTTTTCGCCAATTCTTAACCAAAAAAGTTAAGAAGAGAATAATAGCGTGCTGAAATAAAACAACCTGTTTCCTTTCCCTGTGCACATTTGGTCCCTGTTACAGTTTTCAATTGTAAGATTGGTGATGATGTACCAGTGCTTTTCTTTTCAAATCTTGCCATTATATGGAATAACAGCTTGTTTTAAAGAATAATCTAATAAATTATTTTCTGGACTTGCACCCTTTAAGCAAGTTTCACACAAGAATTTTTCAAGTCAAATCATGTGCTTAGGTAAACCGTTTTTTCAATAATGGTTTAAATTCAAATAAACTCTTGATGCACTTTTATTCTATAAACGTTCCTTCTGTAGTCTAACCTCACAAGGTATTTCCCACAAATCCCAACTCCGAAAATTACCTTCTTAAAAAAACACTCCGAAAATTACCTTAAGAGTTTTAAAAACAAGCTTGGTGATGCTGAAGTCGTATATTAACCTGTACCTCTTTCCCTATGTACATTCATTCCAGCTTTATTGTTCTGAGTTCTGACCTGTAAGGTTCATGGTTAAAAGACCAACACTTTTTGGTTTTTGAAGTATTTATCAGAGGGAAGAGCTTCCATATGTTTCTCAAACGTAAATAATCACTCACTTTTTTGATTTACAAGCCCTCCAAGTTAGTTTCATACTAAACATCCTTTTAAGTTAGTTACATACACTTAGGGTTTTAAGTTGTTTTCCACCTCTTGAGGGTGTGCTCTAGTGAAGACATGAAATAACAGTCATATCAATTTACCTTTCTGTAGGATGCAGAGGCTTACACTCATCTCTTAAATGTTCTAGCCCCAGAGCACAGCAATCCAGCTACACTAACCGTGAAAGGTAATATACAAAGAGCTAAGTTGGTTCTTGAACATGCAGATAAGATGGGTTGCAAGAGATACTTAACGGCAAAAGATATTGTGGAGGGTTTTCCTAATCTTAACCTTGCATTTGTGGCACATATATTCCAGCATAGGTGAGATGATAACTCTTTCAAATAGTTTATAGCCATCTTGTTTGTTTTGTCTTTTATACAAATTTTTGCTGCATGAATACTAATTAGTAATTTACTTTTAGATAGTGTCATACTTGCATACTAAGAAATATAAGCTTTACATATACCTCCAGCACTTGACATCAATGTATCATATATTTCCACATTTCTGCAATTTCTAATTAAAGAGCTGATGGTTCTCGTTAGAGGTTTGGACAATCTACGATACTAGTGGTACTAAAGTATGTTGTTGGAATCTATGAAGCATGGACATACATACAGAAAATGAGATTTCAAAAGTGATTGGAGAGATACTCTACTGGAGAGCTGACTGATTAGTACTGTGTGTAACATAATTGTCCTTTGCATACCGGAATGTAGTGCGCGCCCCACGTGTGCAATTTCAACATGGAACATTCCTCGTAGTAACCGCCATGGTGATGTGGCTCTTATGTGATGCTGGTGACGTGGTCCTAGTTCTGTATGGTACTTGATTGCAGAAATGCCTAAGTCCACAATTTATCTAGCAAGACCTCGAGCTCAATAAATGGGATCAGAGCTCGGGTATAGTGAGCTTATCCCGGAGGGTTTGACCCTCATTTTTTATCACCTTCTAGCTTGTGGAAAACGGTCAAAATAAAATCTCTGTGCAATCCTACTATTACTCTACTTCATTAGTACTAAAGTAGAAGATATTTTAAATAAACTTGATATTTGATATTTTGGTAACTTGGGGTGTAATAAATAAAATTTGTATGATTCGTTTTATACAATAATTTTGAAATATTGAATGCAATAATTTTGAAAGCTAGATATTCTATAAATAAGGTAAGAAGCCCACCAACATACAAATCATAATAGGAGAAATACAAAAAGTGTTTGTTTCAATTTGAGTAATGTAATTTCCAAAACTAGATCGTAATTGAATTAAGTTAAAAGGGCCACTTCCACAAAAGTTATATAATAAAATAAGTATAAATCTTTATATATATATAAAGATTGTATGGTGGGATTCTTAATATTTTATTTTCCCTCTAATAAAATTACATTGTTGAAGTATTTAGTGAACTCTTATAATTAATCAACAATATTTAAACTTAGTAAAGGATAATTGATCAGTTAGTAAGACCAACATTTAATTCCATATAAACTCAAGGGTTATTAACTTTATATAAGTAGTTTATAGGTATTGATTTTTAATTTTTTCTAACATCATATTTTTGGATGATTCTTTGATAATTACGGTACAAAATTGACTTTAATAACACCATATAAGAGATGAATAAGAAGAATGGTTCTGATAATAATAAATAAGGAAGTGCTTTTAGAAAATCATATACAATTATAAAATTATACTAATGGTAATTTTCGATTCTAAATTAATGTTGAGTTTATAATTTTTTTGTTCACAATTATTCCTAACACATCAATTACACAAAAATAAGTAGTATGTATGAGGGAATTGGAAGAACATTTTGGGATAGTCTAAAATAAAAAGGAAATAGTTTTTCGAAAGAAGGTAATCACTTTCAAATAATATTAGTTAAAATAATCACATAAATATAACCTTTCTACGACATAAAGTCCTCTATCATGTTATGTTTGAAATTTGTGTAAATTTTGTCATATTTATCTTTGAGATTAAGAATGCGGGGGAATAAGAAAAAGCTTCTTCTTAAGTGGACTATAGAGGTCCTACTAAATTGAGTTTTGCGTAAATCAAAATGTATTCATTTTTTATAAAATGTTTCAGAACATGTGAATAATCCACACTATCTATTAACTATTAGCCTTCTTTTTGTTTGAATAATATGTTTTATTTAAAGATTGAAAGAGCAGATAAATAAAATAATGTATAAGTGTACATACATAGCCAATGACAAAATATACTTTGATGTTATTTATAGTAAATGGAATCATAAGAATGATTTATTACAAGGTGTGTAATGTGTGTAGTTGTCATGTATCTAGCTAACAGAATTACGGAAACTGCATAATTTTATAAATATAAATATTTGTAAAAATAATAATAATTCACAAAATAAAGTCGTGGGGTACCACTATAGATTTAAGAAAAATCATTCTCAGAATATTAGTGATGAGTAGATATAATAGAAACATATTCATGCATAGGCAATGACAAAAAGTATGTAACCAAAACATACATTAATAAATATGGAAATTTGTAAAGATAATAATTTTAAAAAAAGTTGCGGGAACTACTATTGATTTAAGAAAAACTGTGCGCAATTTCAGTAGGTTAATGATCTGTGTATCCTTAAATACAGTAGGTAATTGCTTTTTTGTCAAAAATTTGATAAGGTAATTGTTAATAAATTATTTTTGTCAATAATTTTTTAAAAACACACATACCTGCATAATTGTAAAAATATGCATGTTCCACTATATAGTACTCGTATTAATATTATAAATTCCTTATATAAGAAGCAATGTGGTTAATAGTGATACTTTATTTTCCAAATACAATTCAACTTCACGATTCCAATTTATCTTGACATTCAAACTCCATTTTATGTAATTTAACAAGGAGATATGTGAAAGTACAAAACAAATATGGAAAGCGTTGAGAATCATTATTGTCTTATTTTAAAATACTGCTCAAGGACAATATAACTCCATATTTAAAGATACATCTATTGTACTTGATATCATGTATAGAATTATCATCATAATTACCACTAATCATATAAATTTCAAATAATATTTATTGTTATCATATTCACCATACGAAAAATAAACGACTAAATCAAATTCATTTGTATCTTTATACTCTAATTATTAGAGCATGCATCTCTTATCACAACCTTTGTTTTTAACACAACCTTTTATCATATGCTCAATTTTTAATTGAAAAAATGTATACGTATTAACCACTAAATAAATTATTTTATGGATGAATTCATCCGTGCAACGAGTGGATTGACTAGTATTAATAGTACTTATGAACTTATGGTCCTATCTTGTGTCATGTTGTGCAATTGTTGTGCGGCAAAATCATCACTTTGTGCGCATGGTGCTCCCATACTACATGAATGTACATATGGGCGAATTTTAATTAACTTTCGATACATAAGTGTTGCTGTAATTCATGCTATATTTTTATGAAAATGTCATTATGAAAGATATAAATACATATAAACAACATTTAAGAAATGTTAATATAAAGAGTTTAATATTTCATGTAAATGTGATATTTGGTACGTTACATCGAAAGTGATATGAATGTTCTAAAAAGATGTGATTGACTTATAATCTAATAATCCATGGATACTAAGTGACCGTTACTGAATTAGAAGTCATTGGTGCGGCGGTGCCTACATTTTTTGCCCCCTTTTCGCTTTGATCAAAGTGAACGTTGATAACTAATCATATGACATTAATTAAACACCACTTAAGTTTAATCAACCAAAAAGGGATTTCCAGATTTGGGTTTAAACTTACTCCGTACAATATCGGTTATCAACAAGTGTGAGGGGCAAGATTGTCATCACAGGTCTCAACAGGAACATCTTTGAAGCTGCCAGCTCTTCTCCGTCCCGGCCCAGTTTGTGCATGTGCTGGTCACTCTCTTGCTCCGTTTGGCATTCTAAATGCAGTAGCACTTCTCCAGGATAACGCTTTTAAAAATTCAATCAGACTACAGTTATAGAAAGCAGCTGTTTAGTGCATTTGCTTTTTATCATCTGCCATTAAAATCGAGATTGGATCGAAAGACAGGCGAAAATGGCAGGTTATGTGGGAGTTCTGGTGTCGGATCCATGGCTGCAGAACCAGTTCACGCAAGTAGAGCTTCAGAGCTTAAAGTCCAATGTAAGTCTAACTGGTGTTGATTTGCTTGGCTGTTAATTTCGTGTCTGGATTTGAGGATTCTGTGCGGTTCATGCAGTTCCTGACGATGAGTGAAGAATGCGGAAGCCTGAAGATATCAGACTTGCCGGAGAAAATGTCTAGGCTGAAGAACGTCGGGGAGAACTTTACTGAACAAGAAAGAGAGGTGTTTCTCAGAGACTCGTTTCCGAACATGGAAGACGATGTTGATTTTGAACTTTTCCTTCGGGTAAATACACAGGCATTCTTGTTGTTTTTTGAGATATATATTTATTTTTGAGATCTAACTTTAGAATCATTAGAAAAGAAATATCGTACTCTAAGATGTTTTTGGTTAGTTTCCGGGGAACTTGCGAGTTTCAGCTTTCAAATCGAACTGCTTCCTGAGTTACTTTCAGGATTCACAACATAATTACATAAACAGAACGGTGAAGAATGCTGTGGTATTATCATGATATCTGGAAAATTTTAGGGAACCCTGAGAACCAAACAAGGAAAATCTTCTATTTATTAGAAAGTTAATGCGTATTCCTCCGTTGATCAAATTGAAAGACAAAAGAATAGCTTTTAAGGACCGGTTTGTTTCCTAAGAAAAATAATCTCTGGATTTCAAAATCGAAAACTAAATGAGAATATAAATACTTTCCATGATTATTTGAACTTCTGTGAGAATATATTAGAGCATGTTTGGAATAGCTTATGCCTTATTTGAACTTGTGCCTTTATCATAAGTGGTATAAGTTCACATTTAAGCACTTAAAAGTGTTTTTCGTTGAAAGATCATAGCTTTCTCAAATAAGAATTAAAAGTGCATTTTTCATGGTTAAAAGTGTTTTATCATATGTTTGTCAAACGCTTTTTTTAAATAATTAAAGGTAGCTATCTTCCTCTAAAAACACTTATTCCTTGAAAACAAGTCATCCCAACCACACTTGTACTTTGAATGTTGCCTCTGCAATTCTATATTCTTCATATTCATTGACAGAATCATGGTATATTTGTGATAGATATATTTGAAACTCCAAGCACATGCTACAGCTAGAATGGGAAGCGATGCAAATATTTCATCAGCATTTCTAACGTCTCCCACTTCTACGCTTCTTCACACAATAAGTGAATCTGAAAAGGCGTCATATGCAGCACATATTAACAATTACCTTGCTGAAGATAAATTCTTAAAAGAGTACCTCCCTATAGACCCTTCAACAAATGATCTCTTCGAGATTGCAAAGGATGGAGTTCTTATATGGTGATCATTAATTATAATTCATAACCCTTTAAGTCCACATATTTGGATTTATATTGAGGTTGATTTTCCAATATAATTAGCTCCTGTATCTTTCTTTTGATGCAGCAAACTCATCAATGTGGCTGTGCCCGGGACCATTGATGAACGGGCAATAAATATGAAGAAAACCCTCAATCCCTGGGAAAGAAATGAGAATCATACCCTAGGCCTCAATTCCGCCAAGGCAATTGGATGTACTTTGGTCAATATTGGAAATCAAGATTTCATTGAAGGGAGGGTATGCCTATTCCATTTCTCAACTCTAATTTTTATTGTACATGATACAATCATGTATGTTTGTAACTGTTATCAATTTTAGCATGTAAAATTCCATGCTTATTTCATGACTGTTTATGTCATGGTAATCTCATGGATGATGGTTCAGTATATGCGCTGCATTTCTTTCACTTTGCTAATTAATACTTCAATCATGGACCATGAGGTTCTCTCCTATGTCCTATGTCACCCTACAATTCTAAATCCATCTAACATTTTCTGTAACTTTACCAAGATATGGATTTTTTCCCTAGATTATTTTAATTTTCTTTTCATTTTTGTATGGTGATGCTGCTTCGGACTAATACTTGTTACTTTAATTTTCAGAGGCATCTTGTTCTCGGGGTAATATCTCAAATTATTAAGGTAAGACTACCTATAAATCTATAATTCACACTCTGATTTGATAGGCTAGTGGCTTAAATAATGTTGGTGAAGTTGTATCACCAGCTCCCCTTTCCTCCAATCCCAACTAAACATCTGAGTAGTTTTTTCTTAATTGTGAAACTCTAGATTCAACTATTGGCAGATCTCAACTTGAAGAAAACACCTCAGCTAGTGGAGCTAGTTGATGATACTAAGGTGAAGAACCATGATGGTTTCATTTTAGCAAGACTTGATGAATCAATACTAATACAAAGTTTGTTATTATGTTTGCTTTGCAATGTCAGGATGTAGAAGAATTGATGAGCCTACCTCCTGAAAAGCTCTTGTTGAGATGGATGAACTTTCAATTGAAAAAGACCAAATACAGTAAAACAGTCACAAACTTCTCTACTGACATAAAGGTAGAAGGAATCAGCTGAAACTTAAGATTTCATTGAGCCCTGGATGAACTTTATTCCAATATCACTCATACCCGTCTCTATTTTTTGTTTAAATTAGATGAGCTGTTTTTCGCCAATTCTTAACCAAAAAAGTTAAGAAGAGAATAATAGCGTGCTGAAATAAAACAACCTGTTTCCTTTCCCTGTGCACATTTGGTCCCTGTTACAGTTTTCAATTGTAAGATTGGTGATGATGTACCAGTGCTTTTCTTTTCAAATCTTGCCATTATATGGAATAACAGCTTGTTTTAAAGAATAATCTAATAAATTATTTTCTGGACTTGCACCCTTTAAGCAAGTTTCACACAAGAATTTTTCAAGTCAAATCATGTGCTTAGGTAAACCGTTTTTTCAATAATGGTTTAAATTCAAATAAACTCTTGATGCACTTTTATTCTATAAACGTTCCTTCTGTAGTCTAACCTCACAAGGTATTTCCCACAAATCCCAACTCCGAAAATTACCTTCTTAAAAAAACACTCCGAAAATTACCTTAAGAGTTTTAAAAACAAGCTTGGTGATGCTGAAGTCGTATATTAACCTGTACCTCTTTCCCTATGTACATTCATTCCAGCTTTATTGTTCTGAGTTCTGACCTGTAAGGTTCATGGTTAAAAGACCAACACTTTTTGGTTTTTGAAGTATTTATCAGAGGGAAGAGCTTCCATATGTTTCTCAAACGTAAATAATCACTCACTTTTTTGATTTACAAGCCCTCCAAGTTAGTTTCATACTAAACATCCTTTTAAGTTAGTTACATACACTTAGGGTTTTAAGTTGTTTTCCACCTCTTGAGGGTGTGCTCTAGTGAAGACATGAAATAACAGTCATATCAATTTACCTTTCTGTAGGATGCAGAGGCTTACACTCATCTCTTAAATGTTCTAGCCCCAGAGCACAGCAATCCAGCTACACTAACCGTGAAAGGTAATATACAAAGAGCTAAGTTGGTTCTTGAACATGCAGATAAGATGGGTTGCAAGAGATACTTAACGGCAAAAGATATTGTGGAGGGTTTTCCTAATCTTAACCTTGCATTTGTGGCACATATATTCCAGCATAGGTGAGATGATAACTCTTTCAAATAGTTTATAGCCATCTTGTTTGTTTTGTCTTTTATACAAATTTTTGCTGCATGAATACTAATTAGTAATTTACTTTTAGATAGTGTCATACTTGCATACTAAGAAATATAAGCTTTACATATACCTCCAGCACTTGACATCAATGTATCATATATTTCCACATTTCTGCAATTTCTAATTAAAGAGCTGATGGTTCTCGTTAGAGGTTTGGACAATCTACGATACTAGTGGTACTAAAGTATGTTGTTGGAATCTATGAAGCATGGACATACATACAGAAAATGAGATTTCAAAAAAGTATGAGATATGTGTACTTGTTAAAAATCTAATTTGTCTTTTCTAAAACTACACACACAAATGAATACAGGAATGAACACACTCAAGGAATCCAAGTAAGAATTTGATTTCATGCTTCATATCTTGGAATTGGTTTACTAAGAAGGAAGAACTTGTCTTAAAACAAATTTGCTGTGCACAATCGCTTGAGTGTTGGCATTTCCCTATCGTACTTGGTGACTTGAAAACTGTTGAGTAACTAATTTGTTGAACACTATCTCTGGAGGGTCATCCGGAAACAGTCTCTCTGTGCTTTAGTACAGAGGTAAGACTGCGTACATCCGACCCCCCCTTACCCCACCGTAGGTGGGAGCCTTTGCGGCACTGGGGTAAATGAAAATGATGATGAATGACTATCTCTGGAGGGTTGGCATTTCCCTATTGTGCTTAGTGAATCAAATCAGAACGAATGTCATCTGGGCTTCACAATTTCTATTTTATTTTTGACGTGTTTGAGTGGTACACTATTTGTTTTCTTCTTATCTCAAGTTTTCTTAGTCACTACACTGATGGTGGGGAATTTTCATTTTTAGGAATGGGCTTTCAACACAAACCAAGCAGATATCTTTCCTTGAAACTAGTCCAGATGATGCCCAGATGTCTAGAGAAGAGAGAGCATTTCGTTTCTGGATTAACAGTCTTGGGAACTCTTCATACATAGATAACGTCTTTGAAGATCTTAGGAATGGGTAAGTGCAATCCTGCCAGAGTCATTCTTGTATACATTACCGAACATAATAAAAATAATGATTTGAGTTTTCTGCTATTATTATTGGATATGTATTTTGGCTTTCCTTTTTCTTATTTTGAGTTCACTTCTCGACGTGCTTTGGTGTAAATAAACTTCTTCTTTGTTGCAGATGGTTGCTTCTAGAGACACTAGACAAGGCTTCCCCAGGAATTGTTAATTGGAAAATTGCTTCTAAACCACCAATCAAGTTGCCTTTTAGAAAAGTTGAAAATTGTAACCAGGTTATCAAGATCGGCAAACAACTGAAGTTTTCCCTCGTTAATATAGCTGGAAATGACATTGTACAAGGAAATAAGAAGCTAATATTAGGTATGTGTGCAATAGTATTAGTTTTTATGTCTCAATAAGATGAGTCAAATTGACTCAAATTGGTAATGAACCTCCTATTTTTGTCTTCAGCTTACTTGTGGCAGTTAATGCGATTCAATATGCTTCAACTCTTGAAAAACTTAAGATTTCACTCTCATGGAAAGGAAATCATGGATACAGATATCTTAGATTGGGCTAACACCAAAGTCAGAAAATCCGGGAGCCAGAGTCGCATGGCCAGCTTTAAGGTAACCATGCCCAAGCAAAATTCTCAGTATCATTTTTCAATCTGTTCATTGTTGCATTAATCGAATAGACCTTTTTGTGAACTAAAACTAATGACTTTCCTAGTTGGTCTGCAACATAAGTATTCCCTACATTTTTAAGGTCCTAATTTTGAAGGACCAGTTTGCTGAGTCTTATTTGGTTGAAACTTGAAATGGCTAAATCTGCCAAATAAGTCAATACCTACTTCTTCTCATAAAGGCACCAAATGGTGCTTAAGTGCCATGCAGCTTGTAATTACTATATACTCAGCAATAACCTTGATCACACTACTGACTAAATGAGGCATATTTTTAGGACAAGAGTTTGTCTGATGGCATCTTTTTCCTTGAGCTGCTTAGTGCTGTATACCCTCGAGCAGTCAACTGGAGTATGGTAGCAAAAGGAGATAAAGGTATATTAGTATATATCTCTTTCAAGTTAGAACTAGAAATCAAGGTTCTTCTTTAATTAGAATGTTATGCTACTTTAATTATTTGGATCTGCCTTGGTATTACTGAGTGATTTTCATGAAAGGGAAGTGTTGATATATATGTTCAAATAAATTTCAATTTTTGTCCTTTGGTTTTAGTAGCGCCACCTCATTTCTTCCTTTGGTTTGAGTGGCACTGCCACACAAAAAACCATTGAGTTTCAATTTGACCAATTTACACCCTCAACTTTCATGACATTGTAATTTTGGTCGTCCGTTACACTTCTTATTGAAAAGTTATGTATGGGGGAACTATCCATAGTCCTTCGTTCATGTGTTTCCCCACAGCGGCGGAACCAGACAATAATTTGAGGGGGTGCTCTTATATTTTTTTTTGAAAAACAATTTTTTATTAGGATAAAATAAAAACGAGTGAAAAATAATTATTAATACATATAGAGTGAGGTTCTAATAAAAAAAGTTATTCCCGTGAAAAATGAGAACGGGCGCATTTTTTACTCGTTTTGGTACACTAGTAGATATTTATTTTACACTTTTTCACAATGAGAAAATTTTGATTTATTTATCAAATTGTCACCGAGTTTTTGATAAAATATAGTGCGTTGTTGACTGATTTTGACTCATCGGATCTCAAGTTAAATGCACAAGATTTATTTTCGATCAATTTTCATGATAAGAACTCTTTTTATTTGATCCGAAACTTATATATATGTATATGTAGTGTGTTTCAAATAAAAATACTATTATACTAAATAAAAGGTAAATACTTATATTAACTTAAAGTAGTTTTAGAATTATTATTGACATTTAATGACAACGTCCGTATATGTCATTATTAGAAGAAGAAATGATTAAAATTAATTTGAATTGAAGAAATGAGAATTTAAAATAAAAGATATAGAAATTCAAAAAGTGTGATTTAAACAACATTACATCCTAGAGTGATTTAATTGAACATAAATAATTACCAAATGGGCTAAAGTCTAAAGAAGCAATAATGGAGAAAGCAAAAACGGAGAAAGCAAAAAAAAAATGTTGCTCTTGACAATTGAACTCGGGCCATTTAGGTGGACAGAGCTCTCCCAACCTCCACCCTACCATTTGAACTATCACAACTCATACGTTTAAATAGCGACTCCACTTTAATATATGAATACTTTCTGAACCGGGGTTGAGATATATACATATATATATACAGAACCACCGCCGGAGAAAGGGGAGCGCCGGCACCGGCTCGCCCCCCTAGTTCCGCCACTGTTTCCCCATAAGAATAAAGGTCCACTTGGAATGCGGAAGATGCAAGGGAAAGAAAATAGGGAGGAAATGTTATGGAAAATTTGAAGGTAAATGAAATAAAATATTTTAAGAACTCAATAAATTTATTCTAAATAATTGCTTCAATTCAGTTTTTTTATATTTCTATTATATAAATGCTAAGGAATCTAAATACATGTAAGTATTCTAGAATCGTCAATCACATTTCACTTTCCTTTTCATTTTGTGGGGTAATCCAAACATGATATAACAATTTTCTGGGATCTTGACATAGCCTAAAATGACAATGCCATGAAATTCAAGAATGTCAATTCACCAAATTGAAATTTGTGGGCTAAACATGTCATTGCCATAATGCCATTGCAGTCAAATAACGAAAACTATTATTATCCAATTGGATTTGCCAGATTATCCTTGTGCATAACAGAATTTTGGAGGAAAATTGTAACAACATCAACATTACCCTGGTGCCGCAAAAGCTCTCACTTACGTGGGGTAAAGGGGGGTTGGATGTACGCAGCCTTACCCGTAATACTTGAGATTTAATTTAAACGGATTAATAGTACTACTCATACCAACAAGGTGCATCTCCTTTTAAGGGAGCTCATTAGTTAAGAACTCCAAAGTTAAGTGTGCTTACACGGGAGTAGTCTTAGGATGAGTGACCCTCGGGAAGTTTCTCAGGGCGCACACGAGTGAGGACAAAGTGCGCGGAAAAGGCTAGTGATGGTTTGTGAGGACAGTACTAGAGGTCTGGAGGGTGTGTTGGAGTAACTACCTCGGGCCCTACAAGGCTGAGTATTACAGGTTGTATCAGAGCAACCCTGCGACAGTGTGTTGTCCCGTTGGATATCGGGCGGACGCTTAACGAGGGAGGATTCTGGGATTTCATTGAGATTTGAGACTGGTTTATGGGCGCAACAGGACGTTGCGTTCCTAAGTGGGGGTGATTGTAATATTTGAGATTTAATTTAAACGGATTAATAGTACTACTCATACGAACAAGGTGCATCTCCTTTTAAGGGAGCTCATTAGCTAAGAACTTCAAAGTTAAGCGTGCTTGCACGGGAGTAGTCTTAGGATTGGTGACCCCCTGAGAAGTTTCTCATGACACGCACGAGTGAGGACAAAGTGCGCGAAAAAGGTTAGTGTCGGTTTGTGAGGACAATACTAGAGGTCTGGAGGGTGTGTTGGAGTAACTACCTCGGATCCTACGGGGCGGGGTGTTACATTACCCCTGTACTAAAGTATAAAGAGACCGTTTCCGGATGATCCATGATGACAATCGCGTTAAAAATTGTATGGACTAACTGCTGCTTCATAACAAATAAGTGCAGATAGTTTAGTGAGTCACTTTGCTTTATTCCATAAATATTCCCAAGTCAAAAAATAGCAAGTCTTTGGCTCCAATGGAAATGATGGAAAAGGATGAAAACTGTAACAGATGACCAGAAATGGCAATGCCAAATAATTTGTGGATGTCAATTGACTAAATAAAAACTAGAGGACTAAATTTGACAATTTCACTATATTCTGATAGAGAGTGGAATGTGAACTGCCATTGACTAACTACTACTCTGCACTAACAAACTATCTTCCTTTGAGGCTGATATGGCAGTATTGATGTGGCTCTTTTAATTCTACTTTCTCAGTTCTCGATGACTCACCATCTAATTAAATTCACTCTAAAAACTTGTGTTTCTTGTAGAGGAGGAGAGAAAGATGAATGCAACCTACATAATCAGTATAGCAAGGAAGCTCGGTTGTTCCATCTTTTTACTGCCTGAAGACATAATAGAGGCACTTGTTCTTCATTAACTTCCCTTCTACAATTTCTAATACTATTATTGAAAAAATGTGTCTTGTTAGAAAGATGTAACTATTAATTTAATTTAAACAGGTAAATCAGAAGATGATACTTATGCTGACAGCAAGTATAATGTACTGGTACTTGAAACAACCTGCAGAAGATAGAATGAGCGTAACATCACCTTCGGACAGTGAGGCTGGTAGTGTTGTAGACACAACCTCCACATCTTCCACAACGGACGATACTGCTTCCGAGTCTTCAACAGATGCATGAGAACATACTACTGGCAGTCGTAATAGGTACTGCTCTAATATGTGTGTGTATTAATCATCTGCGGAGCTTCTAAAACAATCAATAATATTCCGTTTTTGCTGATCGGGTTGGCTATCATATGCGTTTCTCAGCCTATGAAAAGATACACCTATTAAATCCTACAAATAGAAAATTGTAGAGATATGCTGTTTATATTTAGAGGAATTAATAGATATGATTAAATGCATCTTAATGTAACATATTTCCTGTTTGCCGATTCATTGGTATTCTGAAAATGAATCAGGCTTTTTATGTTGTAGTGTGTGGCTGATTCCCCCTGAAAGGAACAACCAAGTACATGCACTTGTGAGTTGTAAATAGTAAAAATGTTTGTTTGGAAAGGAGGCCTTTTGGATAGCCTCTTGTTTGGGATGGTGTAGATCCCATTCAGAAGCTTGTTCTGCTATGCAATAACAAAGAACTTGAACATTAGAAAGTAATAATATTTAGCTGGTTTTTTATAATCTCTTTGATAGAGGGCTTGCTCAAAGTTATTCTGATTGAAATTGTTGAGTCATCTCAGACCTGCAACCATAATGATTTCATTTCAAGATTATGATCTCACATCTTAATAAAGTAGCAATGCCCATTTATAACTAAACAAGTGAAGTAACGAATACCAATTACAATTTGAAATAAGGGCAGGACGTTTGTCTCTCAAGATGACCACAGATGTAGTTATGCCTAGGGGGGCATACTAGGCCTAGATTCATCCCAAAATTTGGAAATGCGTCCACTTGAGGTGCATAAAGATTATACGGAGTATGAAAAAAAGTTTGAAAAATTCTTTATACCGGTCTAGCCTGTACTAATGGATCCTCCTCCCTACGCCACTGATAACAACGACATAAAGTCATAAACAATATGTTTCACACTTTCACCGCTCAATGAACGAGGAACAATATGCTCTTGCTTCCAAAGAATATAGTCCATTGCTCTAACATTGCTAACAACACTTCAGTACCTACTACTCTACTTGCAGAGTCACTTGACTGCATGGATGGCTTATGGCTAACAGGAGGAATAACCTTCATAGTAGCTATAAGTGAAAAAATTAAATGCTTGGAAAAGATTAAGTTTCACTATTAAATGCTTGGAAAAGATTAAGGCTCAAAAGTTTTTTTCTCAAATCTCTACTTATAAAAACTGTTATCCTAAAAAGCACTTGTGTAAATGTTGAACTAGGAGTAGACCATGCCTATTAGAGGCCAAATTAAATGGAAGATGAGGCTAGAATAATTCAAATGGGGCATACAATTGATAGAGGAGACTGCTAAGAAAAGAAACAAAACTGTGGTGGCCCACCTTTGCATTATTGGGAAATATTTGTGTTACTACTTCCCCTCTCCTCTCATTTGAGCCATACTAATGAGATTTGAGAGAGTTTTGGGAATATCCCATACGAATTAAGTACCAATAGATTTATTATTACTAATGAATGAAGTGGTTTATGTATAGTACTGGTTCGGATTAAATAGATGGAAATTGGGCAGCCCAACATATATGGCCCAATTGCTATTATTAGTAAGGATAATATGAGTGGCTATTCTCCTCCTCCTCCTCCCATTTGAGATCGTAGCGTATGAGAGAGGACCAAGAGAGACAGATAGAAGTAGGGTTGGATTCGGTTTGGGCCACCCGGCCCGGTACTGTGCGGGCCCGGGACCGGGTATGGGCCCGAACCGGTGGGAAGGGGCGGGGCGGGCTCGGTGCTGGAATAATGTGACCCGGCCCGGTCGGGTCGGGCCCGGGCCCGGGTCCGATCTTATTTTTTTTTTAAAAAAAATTTTGTTTGGTTGGGCTACTAGCCGTTGGGGGTGGGGCTGGGGACAACCCAAACGGCTATATAGCCGTTGGGTGGGGTAAAGGGGGGGTCCGGGGGGGGTTGGCTGGTGGGGTGGGTGGGGGGGGTGGGGGGGGTGGGGGGGTAAAAAACCTATAAATACTCCTAATCTTAAACATTTTTTCATATCTCTTCTCCAATTCTTCCTAAATCCTATTCTTAACTCTCTACTCTCTAATTCTCTTATTCTCCAATATATTATATTTATTATTTATATATCTACTTTATAGTTTATACTTGAGAAGTTAAGATGGAAAATCAAGATGTCATTATACGGTATAATTTTGATAAGCAGAAGGACCCGAAGACCGGGATGTGGTACGCAATTTGCAAATGGTGCGAGAAAAAATGTAGCATGGGGGTTTCAGGCGGATTCGGGATGGCAATCAAGCATATGAAGTCATGTGACAAAGCCAAAGGATCGGGAGGTGCGGGAAGTTCCGATTGATTACAATTTTCAAAATGTTTATCTCTTAAAGTTTGTTTTAATTTTCAAATGTAGTTCCTATTTCATTTCAAATAAATGCAATTGAAGTTTGTTTTTAATACTCGTATAAAACTATAAACCATACAATATAAATTATAAAAAAAAAAAATTAACCGGCCCGGCCCGAACCGGACCCGACCCGTGGCCCGGGCGGGTGGCCCGGCCCGAACCGGACCCGTCCAACCCTCGGGCCGGTCCCGGGCCCATGTCATACAACCCGGTGGCCCGACCGGGCCTAGGCCCGGCCCGTGCCCGACCCGGCCCGAGTCCATCAATAGATAGAAGAGCATGCAAAATCTCCTAGGAACAAGTAAGAAAGAAGAGAGGAGAGAAAGGGAATCCGGAGAAGAAGACCGGGAACTAGCGATAACATCCCTATATTCCTGGTTGTTTTGTACCTTCTAGTTTATATAATTCATATAATCAATTTGAATGAATCATAAGATGGATTCCCGATGTTTTCTACACATTTAAATGTGTATAAAAATGGTATAAAGTATTGATTATAGTCTAGAAAAAACTTGGAATGGATAGGAGTTGGATTAATTTGCTGAATGTGAAGTCCTTCCTCCAGGAAAGAGAACCGATGGTATACTGCTAGCTAGAATCCGCATTTAGGACTATATATATGAAAGCATTTGATCGATTTCAGGATTCTTTCATGCATCCCACGATGCTCATATGTCACTTCAATGTTAATGTTATTGAAAAATTGACCTCACAACATTGATTCTATGTATGATGGATAATTGTTACCCATATTGTATAATTTAGGAGAGATTGAACAAGAAATGAAGAAGGAGATGAACGTGTTGTATTGAATAATTAATTGGACTAGGGTTTACAATGTCTTCCATGAGGAGTACATATATATGGAGAGAAAATAGCAGAGTCAACATCCTTATATGCACCCAGAACTCAACAATAAGCGGACACCGTCCAGACATCTAGGCGGGAAACCAAGATATTGGCGGGAAACACATTTAATGCAGTAGATTTAGTGGTTGAGAAGCTAGCCATTCATAGTCATCAACGTCATGTTGAAGCTGGGGAGTTGAGCAACTGTTTTAAAAAATCTTGCGGATTTCTCAGAGTATCGTGTGATCACTTTCCGAATCTAATATTTCGACCCTATGCCTGGGTTACACGAAATTTAGATTATGGGGATAATCACTCTGAGAGACAGTCTAAAACTGAGGCACCAATATATAAACCACGAACTAGCAGTTTTAGTAGAACTCGAATTCTTCTGATTACCAAAGAGATAAGGCCAATCAGTTAGAGTTTTACTCTAACAGAAAGTCATTCTATTAAATAATTAATATGGACATGTTTATCCGAAAATAAATTTCCATATTTATTTCTTTAATAAAATAAAATTTTGGTCCGGGGCGCTGCCCCTTGGACCCCGCAAGGGGGCGCAGCCCCCTTGACCCCCGCCATTTAATCGAACCAAGTTTAAATTTAATTTCGTACAAGTGTGCGATCCGCACCTCCTAACTTGTCTAAAATTAAACTTGAACTCCATTGGTAATCTGTAAAATCCATTACACTAAAATGAACCTGGTGATACTAAAATCACCAACAATCCTCCCCCATTTTAGTGTAACCATGAATCTACATAAACAAGAATAAGAGACAACCAAACTTATGCATACATGAAAATATCGAAACGATTGAATTTTCATATTAGTACATTACACATTCCAAATACTCGAGAATCAGGGTGTTCTAAGAATTGAACCCTTCAACCCATTTGAATACATGAAGATAAAATACACATAAGTTCAAATAAACAACTAGTTCAAAACTTTGACACTATTATTAAGCCGAGTGTCCCAATCCATTCATAATCGTATAAAAGTCAAGTCCCAACTTTTCGAAGTGCGGCTACACTTCACGATCATATAGGTAATTCCTTTAATCATGTACCTGCTTACATTTTAACAAAGGAATTATTAAGAATATATATTCAACCATTTTACTACAGGTCCGAACACACTAACCTGGGATGACAAAATGCATGTGTTCCATTCCTTAAGTATGAGCTTTCCTCATTGAATTCAACCTCTAATATTATATTAGAGGGGAATTGGGTGTCTCTGTTAGCATATATGTCCTAGCGACAATCACTTTTTAGAGATATATGTACTTGATCACATTCAGTTTTATATATTTGATATATACGGTATTACACATTGATGATTAAGTATTTCGATTGCCAATATCTTATTCATAATTGTGTTCCCTTGGACTTATGTTGTCAATGAGTAAGTGGGAGCTTATATGATATAACATAAGGTCCTAAAATAGCCCCAATCAATGATCATCAAGAATGGGATATTGATGATATGCGATAAGATTGGTATGTGGACTGCATCATACTTTTAGAAAGTATAGTTGATCTCACAACTATGAGTTCCTGTAATTCATGATGGTCACATAGATATTTTAGAGAATATTGGCATACCCACCGAGAAACCATTTGATAAGTTCTATTCATGTGTCTATGGGATTATCGGCGTATAGAGTAGTGTAATAGTCCTCCGACTTGAGGTCAATACGTACTACATGTGCGGAGTGATGTACTTTGACCATGACCAACGCTTGCACTCCAATCGGGGTAGATACGGCATGTGTTGGGTGCATCACGAAGCACATGGAGTAGTAGTTGAGCCAAGAAAGGATTCATTTCTCATAATAGATTAAGAGAGAACATTCTACTTCTCATATCTAGATGGATCATAAAGTCATTGGCCAATGCAAAGATATATTCGTTTTGGATATCGAATATGATCGTTATGGATCATCTAGAAAGATTGAGAGACAGAGACTGAGTTATTGGGATAGACACAATATCATGTTCTAGACTTAGTTGAATGTTCGTTGAATGAAAGGACCGTATCACTATGAGCTCTATATTACAGGGAGTTTGAATAGTCCTCGCAAACGTCCTTATATATTAAGTTTGTCTGGTAAATCGTCTAGGGATTCTACTAAGACCTTAATTTGATTAGTGCTTAATATATAAGGCCCTATGGGTCACACAACAAGTGATTATACCTTCCGATTGAATTGTTAGAAGAAATTAAATATTATAAATTTGATACAATAATATTTAATTAGTAATACTGAAA